TGTGTGTGTGTGTGTGTGTATGTGTATGTGTGTGTGTGTGTGTGTGTATTAATGAGAAGAGTCTACAAATCATAGAAGAAACGCTGAGATGTATTATATTATCTATAGACTGTGTTTTGGAATTCTTGTCTGAATAAAGTGAAACTTACATTAACTTAACATTTGCTTCTTGTGACATTTGCAAATGTGTAAATAAGTCAAGAAGGTTTTATTAATTGAACAATAAATCTACAAAGTTGTCTCATACCAAACAAACATAATTCATGAATTGCAAAAAGTACGACACTGTGACAAATGTCAGGTTGCCAGTATTTAAATTGTACTGAAAAATAGAACTTAAATTGATACAATTCTTGAATCCAAAGGGTTTGGATTTAGAAGTTGTATAATTAACTTAATCTAAAAATGCACACATAACTTTAAAAACCAAGAGATCAACAAAAAAATACAATTATATAAGAAAAAAAACACCAGATGGAGAGGCCACAACTGAATGAAATAGTTTAGGTTCATGTTCGCTTTACTAATATAATTATTGTTTCATTCAACACTTAAAATAACGAGGAAGAACGCCGGTCGAAATATCCTTCTGGAAGTTGAACTGTGTGGAGCCATTTGTAATTGAAAAGACCATGTGCCTCAATTAAGGATAAACATATATAACTTCAGTATGGCCTCTAAACCAGACACCAAATAATTAAATTAAAAATCAATTACGTATAAATAATAACTGACGACTTATGAAACCTATAAATAGAGACCTTGGGAAGCTATAGCTGTGAAAAGCAGGGACATCTTTGACGTGGTGAAGCAACAGGTGCAGCCGAACAGACCAAGCACATCTATAATTGGACTGAACAATACATCCTGTCAGTGATTCTGTATCAGCACGCTCTGCTCACACGTCTGCACGATGCAGAGCTCAGGTGTTTTACCTGCAGCCACAGGAGACGCGATATTCTCCTTTACTTCCTGTCTAATGCCTCTGCAGCTCAACAAACAGTATTAAAATACACCACACTGTATTTAAACATGAGTGATTGACTTGTTGACAGTGACACAAACCTCACGTGAAATCTACACTTCAGGGCAGTGACCTCAATACTGTTCAGGGTGTGAGTCGCCCTACATCTGTCTCCGAGGACAATTCCCAGTTGAAAAATCACCTGCAGTTCCGTGCGCAGCGCCCCCAGAAGAATGCCCTGGTATTACCCAACGGCCACTTCATGCTACATTAGCATTTGGTTAGGCCGAGTTCCACCATCATAAATTAATACAAAATGCCTGACACAAAAATGAATCCTCAGATTAACTTTCACAGCATGCACGGTATCTAAATTTCAATTTGGAGGGGATCCCTGTTGGTAGCGAGCTGCTAATGCGCAGTGGGAGTTTGTGTATGTCAGTGGGGACTGTGCTAACCCCTGCTAAGGACCACTCCAGATGGATTTATAAATAGAGCCCAGGTCCATCTATTTACAAACCATGCACATCATCACCTCTCCCGGACTATCTGCACTTCACAGCCCTCCAAACGCAAAAGTCAGGCTGTCCTGGCGCCTGCAGCAGCACAGTCGGATGGAACACTGTGACCCATCTTACCTCGTCTCTGCTCCCTCTTTTTATCTCTGACCCTTTGCTAATTACTTTTCCCTTTCTCAGGTCATGCCACTTTAGCCTTTGTCGTTCCCTTTCATCTTTGCTCCTGTGGTCACATCTGCTTTGTGCACCATTGGAGACTCATCTATCTTTCATTCCCTCAATCCTCTCAGGCCACCGCTACCACGGAGCAAGAATCACAGGTCGTCTTCAGCTGCGTCCCATAGTGTGTTTACATTAAAACATGACATATCTCCTGTAGTAACGACCATGTGAGATGCTATTTTCCAACAACAACAGAGGGAACAAGGCTCATGTGACATTCGGGCAGGGAGTTAATGGAGGACCCCAGGTTGACAAATGGAAACACATGGTGCGGACCACAGACAATAGAGTGCCAACACAAAGTTGCTGGTCGAGGTGCAAATCTGCTGAAGGTCCATGAGGACAGAGAGCAGGGATGATGAAAACAGGAGAAACGAGGACAGCTATACATGTGCACTGATCGTCCTTTGAAAAAGCTTTTAAAATGTCTCATCAGGGATTTAAAACCACTTTCGAATCAACGGTGCTTGGGCCTTTAAGCATTTGCGAAGATTAAAAAACAGGCTCCGATCTTGCAACTCGAGAAGCTTAGATTTATATTCGTCAGCAAGATTCAGATTTCATGCAACCAGCATTGAATGAAACTCACTTTAGCACAAAAGGTCAAACTTTGTAAGGATCGTCATTTTCTGTCTTTCAAACATCTTCTGAGTTGACCTCTTACATGTTGCGTCACAGTAACCTTTAACTCTGTCTTCATGACATTCAGTTCAATTCAAAAGACTTTATAGTCATTGCACGGTCGTACTTCGTACACTAGCACAACGAAATTGTCCTCCTCCTCGATGCCAAACCTACAATTAACAAGACACAAACCACTACACAAATTGAGAAAAAACATGAAGACATAAATGAAAGCTTGTTGACTACGACAGGTAGAGAAACGAGACAGAGACATGTAGCCGGCAAATGATATTAGATATTAAGCCTGATATCTGGTAAAAGATTTCACAGGTCAAGAGAGTGATATGAGAGCTAGATTAATGGCCAGTGGTGGAATAAATCAAGAGTGTGTGTGGCCAAATGTCTGAAATGTATCCCCAGAAAGAAGCCAAACACTTTGGTCATCGTGGCCTAATATTATATCCACAACCTCAATTGGCTCTGTCACATTGCGGCTTGTTAAGTCTCAGCTACTTTAGTTGCTTTAGCAGGTTCACTGGAAGAACTTTGAATTATCACCACTGCACAGCACGAAGCACTGATGACCAACTCTGAATCTGGTTTATAAATATGTCATTAGACAGCATTTTCTGGGATTTGCAAAGTGTTAATGGGAGAGTTTGGTTTAGTGCTGTGTGTGCACGAGTGTGTGTTCACACGCACAGGAAACACGGCGGCACATGAAAAATGTATCAGCTGGTTGAAGTGGGGAGAAGTCAAAAGAGGAAGGAGTGTGATGGGGTGAGAAGGAGGTCGGACGGGGGGTGTATGCAGAGTTGGAATGCTTCATGCAGTCCCTTC